CCAAGCACTTGGGTCATCTTCTGCTTCCCCAAGCAGAGAGCTGGATCAGAAGAGGAGCTGGATCAGAAGAGGAGCAGCCAGGACTCCAAAAGGAGCCCATATGGGATGTCAGCACCACAGGCAGAGGCTTAGCCCACTGCCACTGCGCCAGCCCCATGATTGAACTTAAAAAAAAATCTGATAAACTGTTCACTTATTTAATGTACTTTTTTAAAAAATATAAACCCGGATATCAACCCCAAGATTTCATGGATTTATAGCTTTAAATGAAATCAAAATTAGCTATTTAAATGTTTAAAAGAGCATATTTAAACAAAATATTTAGTAAACAAGGTTACAGATTACACTACCATATGACAAATATCTTGAAGGCAGGTTACAAAAGACTAAGATTTAATAGACCTTGAAGTAGGTAATAAATTAAATAAAAGCCTATTGCACAACAGGAAGCACATCTTTAAATTGCTGAACATGTACGTATGCACTCTGTGGGCAGACAGTAAATACAATTTTGCCTCTTTATAATGCTATAGTAGAGGGTCAGGACTAATGCCAGCATTACAGACTCACAATGTTTTAAAGGCTTTGAGTTATTTATATGCTACATTTTTATAGAAACTATTTCAGGTGTTATCTAGGTATACATAATTACATTTTTTTCTGGAGATAATATTTGCCTTTGTATATTAGCATGCTTTGGGGGGGGGGGAGACTTACTGTGAGTATTTAGTGTATTGTTCTCTGAACCACCGAGTTCAGACTGCTGATTTCAGATTAAACCCCTGCCTTGTACTTCTCTACCTCTGGCACTGGGGCTATTTCATTAGCTCTACATGGATACAATATGTGAGAGGGGTTGTGAAAGTTTTAGTTTGGAATCATTCATAGATGTTAATTTAACTATCTTAAGGCCAAAGAAACAAGTAATAGAGAATTTCCAGTAGTTTGATTGTTTCAATTCATTGAGATTGGGCTGCAATTCTCCAGTAGCAACATAGTTTACATCTGTGTGTTCCTTTTTAATTTTTATTATTATAAAGAGAACAGATTTCATGTATTTCATAGATACAATTCTAAGATAATCATATTTCCCACCTTCTCTCTCTCTCTCCCTCTCTCTCTCCCTCAAATCCCCTCCTTCCTTCCTTCCTTTTTATTTATTTTATTTTTGCAAAAACATAATCTTTAAAAGATGCAAAGCACTTTTAAGAGAGTTTAATTTTCTTACAACCTTGTGAATAGATAAGGGTGCTGTTATACAGTGTGAAAGGGCCTTTGGAAGGATTGCCATTTAAGTTTTTGGCAGCCAGAGAGTGGTCTTTTTGGATATTTGGAGGCAGGTAGCCCATTTCAAGGGAAAATGGATTTTATCTTTAGGAAGGGCCTCCTTTTGTTCTGGGTAAGATCACTGTCAAGCAGATGTAAGGCAGACTCTTATAGACAGCCCTTTGGAAAGCCTGTTAGAGTGAAACGTTAAGAATTTGGTTTCACAATGCAAAGTGAATCTACAAACAAGATCATGACTCTTAAAATTTGTGTAAGCTCCCTTGTGCTGAAAAATATTGCTCATTCTTGAGAGAGCATCTATGTCCTTGCCCAAACATTTGGCTCATACGAAAAGGGTGATTATCTGAGAGTCAAGAAGAACAGGTAAAGTTGACCTTGTCTTTCATATCATCTTAAACACACTGGCGTGAAGTACACTGGCTAAACCAGTGACTTCTCACACATGACATCAGTAAAGGCTAGCTAGTCCAGCCATCAGGCCTTGGCACATTCACTGTGAATCACTGTGATCGCCACGTCTACAGACTCTGGGCCAGATTGCGTCTTGGAGGTGGGAGCTGGCATTTCCTTGAAGGAAATGGATCTTCTTATCATACAGCACCCTGGAAAAGAAAATGAAGCTTATGGTGCTAAGTCCTTTTTTTTTTTTTTTTAGGTTGCTTCTTTTTTTTTATTTTTAACTTTTATTTAATGAATGTAAATTTCCAAAGTACAGCTTATGGATTACAATGGCTTCCCCCCCATAACATCCCTCCCACCCACAACCCTCCCGTTTCCCACTCCCTCTCCCCTTCCATTCACATCAAGATTCATTTTCGATTCTCTTTATATACAGAAGATCAGTTTAGCATACATTAAGTAAAGATTTCAACAGTTTGCTCCCACACAGAAACATAAAGTGAAAAATACTGTTTGAGTACTAGTTATAGCATTAAATCTCAATGTACAGCACACTAAGGACAGAGATCCTACGTGAGGAATAAGTGCACAGTGACTCCTGTTATTGGCTAAGTCCTTTTTAAAAATATTTTTTAAAGGTTTCCTTATTTATTTGAAAGGCAAAGTTACAGAGTTGTAGAGGTAGCAAGAAAAAGAGGTCTTCCATCTGCTGGTTAACTCCCCAGCTAGAGCTGTGCTGTGCAAAGACTTGGGCCATCTTCCTCTGCTTTCTCAGGCCATAGCAGAGAGCTGGATTGGAAGTGGAGCAGCAGGCACTCAAACCAGCACCCATGTGGGATGCCAGCACTGCAGATGGCAGCTTTACCTGCTATGTCACAACATCGGCCCTAGTGCTAACTCTTGAATATTCCCATTGTTTGTAGTGCAGCTATCACTGCATCCCATGAAAGTTCAACATCAGCTGTGTTAGTAATCAAGATTTAGGTTTAGGAACTTCTGGGAGCAGTTAAAAACAAGGGTGGGTTTACCTTCATGAAGTTCGTAAACCTTATATCTAGGAATCTTCTCCTTGTTGGGCGCCTTCAAAGCTCTTGGGAACAGACTAAGCAATGTGTATTCAGGGTTGCATGTTTTTAAAATTTGTGAGTGTAAGATATTTGTGTATACTTTTTCTTACAAAGAGCCTTAATTATATAAACACCATTCCCTGCAGAATCCAGAGCCGCCCTGCTTTTAAGATGATCTATGTTGTATTTTTGTTATCTCCAGGCAGTCAATGTACTTCTGTTCAGTATTGCAATCTTGTCTTGGCTATTCTTTGAAGGAATTAAAGGGGACTGTGTCCCTGCTTGGCATGAAATGGTTTGTGGCAATATCCTGGGGAAGCTGATGATGGGGTACACTGATTGGCTAGCAGAAATCAGAACAGAGACATAGGATGACAGGAGTTCAATGACTGGTTTTGAAAGGAAGGTGTGGGCCCATGCAAGAGGGTGCCCAGACCAAATATGCATTCCATCACTTCTACATATCTCAGAGGCAAAGGAGCCTTGAATGATTCTTGGGGCAGGCACTGTGGAGCAGTGGGTTAAGCTGCAACTTGGGATTCCTGCACTCCTATGTGAGTGCTTACGATTGTGTCCTGCCTTCACTTCAGGTTCCAGCTTCTTGCTAATGCACCTGAGAGGCAGTAGATGAAGACTCAAATAATTGGGTTTCTGCCACGTGCTTGAGGAGACCCAGATAGAGTTCCTGGCTCCTGGCTGCTGGCTTTAGCCTGGCACAGCCCTGGGTATTGTGGGCATTTGGAGCCTGGAACAGTAGATGGAAGATCTCTCTGTTTCTCTCTTGCTCTCGCTCTCTCGCTCACTCTGCCTTTCAAATAAATAAGACTTTTTAATTTAAAAAAGAAAAGAAAGGCGCTTCCTAATACCACCATTTGCGTGTGAAGCGGTTATTGGATGTATATTCATTTCAGAGATTAGAAGAACTAAAGAGAACAGAGATGAAGAAAATAAATTGAGCAAGACTATGAAGCTAGTTAGCAGAATTAATAGGAAGAGTTCATGCCTTTCCAATTTTGCAGCCAGTTTTCATCATCCTGAAACAGGAAAACTGAGCAAAAGACACACAGTAACTTTAAACTGTTTCAGTTGCAATTGTAGCAAAATATTTAGCTGTTTGCATGAAGTGCTTCATCAAGTTCCAGAAATTTTTTTTTTTTTTTGACAGGCAGAGTGGACAGTGAGAGAGAGAGACAGAGAGAAAGGTCTTCCTTTGCCATTGGTTCACCCTCCAATGGCCGCCGCGGCCGCGCTGATCCGATGGCAGGAGCCAGGAGCCAGCTGCTTTTCCTGGTCTCCCATGGGGTGCAGGGCCCAAGCACCTGGGCCATCCTCCACTGCACTCCCTGGCCACAGCAGAGAGCTGGCCTGGAAGAGGGGCAACCGGGACAGAATCCGGCGCCCCAACCGGGACTAGAACCTGGTGTGCCGGCGCCGCTAGGCAGAGGATTAGCCTAGTGAGCCGTGGCGCCGGCCAAGTTCCAGAATTCTTGTTTGAGCAACAAATTTCAAACTAGACTTGCAGTCAACGCTCTATTACTCTGTTTCTGATTCCATTTGGAAGAAATCCAAAAGAAGGCAAAACTATGGTGATAGAAATGAGAAAGTGATTGAGGAGGAAAGGCAGGGGAATTTCATGGGGAAAAGGACACAAGGAACTTTCTTGTTCTATACCTTACTACAATCATCAAAGCTCATCAAGTGGAATGCCTTGGAATTATACATTCCATTTTGTACTCATTAAGTATCAGTAAAAATATAAAAGTAATAAGATTAGCCAAAAACCCATAAAAATAAATTTTTTTAAATAAACATTAAATGGAAACTATGTAGTTCTGCAGAGGCCAGAGTAAAGACTCTCAAGACTTCATAGGGGTGAGAGTCTGTGTTCTTCCTGTTGCAGGGGAAAGTGTTTCACCCGCAATGACCCATTCTCAGTAGGTCACACGTCTGCCTCCCTTGTATCTCTCACTGTCACTGGGGAACAATGCCATTGGCAGACACAGAATCACTATCAGGCAAAACAATAATATTAGTACTAGAAAAACGGCCAAATGTTTACAACAAAATTCTTCCCCAATCATGGGGTTGCATTGCCCTTCCCTAAATCCTGATGCTCCAGTCTCCCCTTTGGAGATTCTTTCTTCCCTTTCTTTCTTTCTTTCTTTTCTTTCTTTCTTTCTTTCTTTTTTCTTTCTTTCTTTCTTTCTTTTCTTTCTTTCTTTCTTTCTTTCGCTCTTTCTTTCTTTCTCTCTCTCTCTTCCTTTCTTTCTTTTTTCTTTCTTTCTTTCTTTTTGAAATGTATGAACTGTAGGATGACCCCATAATTCCAGCAGCTATGTATTTCTGTTCTTTAGTACCGTGGTTCAACAAGATTAATTCCTATAAAGTAAGTACAGACTTGGATTTTTTTACATTATTTTCAATAAGTTTTACATGGACTACCTTGTGAGTTGGTATTTTTTAAATGTCTATTGTTCTAACTATAAAAGAAATATATATTCTTTGTATAAATAAACATCATCACAAAGGTAACTACTGTTAATATTTAAGTGTACTTTCTTTTGTTGTATTCCATATTTGAGATTTTGGTGCATTCACAATCTTTATTCACCATTTTAAAAATATGTCATTAGAGAGCAAGAATTTTCTAATACTATTATAGCTACTTTCTAATGTAAATTGGCTTGCTAATTATTGATCTTTTTTTCCTGATTTTTTTGTAAGATTTATTTGTTTGAAGACAGAGTTACAAAGAGGCAGAGTCAGAGAGAGAGAGAAAGAGAGAGAGAGAGAGAGAGGTCTTCCAACCACTGGTTCACTCCACAGATGGCTGCAAGGCAGGAGCTGTGCTGATCCAAAGCCAGGAGCCAGAAGCTTCCTCCGGGTCTCCCATGCTGGTGCAGGGGCCCAAGAATTTGGGCCATCCTCTACAGCTTTTGCAGATCATGGCAGAGAATTGGATCAGAAGTGGAGCAGCTGGGACTTGGACTGGCGCCCATGTGGGATGCCGGCACTGCAGGCAGCAACTTTACCTGCTACACCACATCACTGGCCCAATTGATCTTTTTTTTTTTTTTAATACAATGTGGAGAATACAATCAATAATGATCATAGAATGGTATTTAAAGAATTCCAGAGGGGCCAATGCCATGGTGCAGGTTAATCCTCCGCCTGCAGCACCGGCATCCCTTATGGGTGTCAGTTCTAGTCCCGGTTGCTCCTTTTCCAGTCCAGCTCTCTGCTGTGGCCTGGGAAAGCAGTAGAAGATGGCCCAAGTCCTTGGGCCTCTGCACCTGCAAGGGAGACAGGGAAGAAAATCGGTGCAGCTCCAGCTGTTGCAGTCATTTGGGGAGTGAACCAGCAGATGGAAGACCTTTCTCTCTGTCACTCCCTCTCACTGTCTGTGACTCTACCTTTCAAATAAATAAATAAAATCTTAAAAAAAAGAATTCCAGAAAACCTAACTGAAAAATGGGCAAAATATTTCTTTATAATCTTCATTATTTGAACACACTGCAATAATTTTTTTCATGTATCCATTTTACTATTGAATAACATTTAGGCTATTTCTGAATTTAGTATGTTATGAACAATAACTTTTTTAATGCATTTTGGTATACATGTGTACCCCCTTTCTCTTGGGTGTAGACCTAGGAGCAAAATTGTTGAGCCATAATGTATATGTATCTTCAACTTCATAGAAAAACTAAGAATTTTCCAAAGTAGTTGTACCAATTTATACTCCCACCAGTTATATATGACACTCTCCGTTGATCTGCTCCTCTCTAAAATGTGTATTGTTGGGGTTGTACATCTTTGCCAGCCTGGTCTGTGTGTATTTCATTGTAGTTTTGAACTACATCTACCTAATTACCAGCAAGGCGGAACAACTTTTCATGTATTTATTGGCTACTTGGTTTTCCACTGGTGCTGTGCCTATTCAGATAGCTTTCTACACTGATAACAATGAAAATGCCTCTGGTATTAAGTTCTAAAATCTGCATTGCTTTCCATATCACATTCAGGTCTACAATTCCCTTGGATTTTTGTAAATGACATGATACAGAATCAAGCCTTCTCTTCTCCATATGAATTCTCATTTGGCTCAGCCATCACTACTGCAAATACTGTGCTTTCCTCAGAGCTCTGCATGTCATTATTTTCTTAATAAGTCTCTTTATATGGGCCTCTTTTGTAGCTCATCCTTCTGTTCAAATAATCTATTTATTGCTGAGATGATACCATGGAAAATATTAGAGCTTTATAAAATGCCTTCATAGGCAAGGGCACTTCAAAGGGCTTGAGGGAAAATGGAATTTCAAAATACATACATACTTTTTTTCTCAATAGGAGTTCTCTCAAGTTTAAGACACATTTTAGGTCATAATACCAACTACTTTGTCCACCCCTAAAGAACATAGGCTACTGGGAATGGAACTATGTCAATGCAGTCTTTTTTACATAATTAATGGAAGAAAAATGGACTCTCTTACAGATTTTTGAAGATTGGGGTTGGCATTGTGATGCAGAGGGTAAAGCTGCCGCCTGTGATGCCTGCATCCCCTGTGGGCACCAGTTCAAGTCCCTGCTCCTCCACTTCTGAACTAGCTCCCTGCTAATGCAAGTGGGAAGGCAGTGCAGGATGGCTCAAGTGTCTGGGCCCCTGCACCCATGTGGGAGACCTGGATGAAATTCCTGGCTCCTGGCTTTGGCCTGACTCAGCCCCAACCATTGCAGCCATTTGGGGAGTGAACCAGAGGATGGAAGATCTCTCTCTGTGTCTCTCCTTCTCCCTCTCTGTAACTCTGCCTTTCAAATAAACAAAATAAATCTTTTTTTACAAAAAGATTTTTGAACACTGGTAAACAAAGAGAACTTAGAAACAGGACTTCATTGTGGATGCCTCTTGACTGCCCACCAAAACTCTGGCAATATTGCCCTTGCTTAACGAGAGGACTGAGTAGAAGCATTGTCATGGAGAGGGACTTTGTGCTGGAGTTTCCCCAGGTACTTTTCTGCTAAAGCTTTGGATCATTTTCACCAAAGAAACCTGTTCTCATCAGTAAGGGTTACTACTCTTTGGCTGTCCAGAAAGCCAACAAGCAAAATGTGCCATGATCTTTGTTCTTGACTGACTCCCATTTGCTAAGCCATTTCTGCCTCTTGGTAGCCATTGTTTTGATGGTGTTTTGCCTTCAGGATGAGACTGGTGAACTCATATTTCATATCCTATTACAGTGCTTTGAATAAATGCTTCAGGATCTTGATCCCATTGGTTTAAAATTACTATTGGAAACTGCTCTTGTATGCCACTGATCAGGGCATAACAGTTTTGGCACCCAATAAGCAGAAAATTTACTCAACCTTAATATTTCAGCAAAAATTTTGTGAGTCAAATGAATTGAGGTGTCTGTGGTGCTGGCTATTGTTTCTGCTATTAACCATCAGTCTTCTTCAGTTAGGGCATAGACAGCATTGATATTTTCCTTGCAAATTGATGTGGGTTGTCTGCTACTATGAGCTTTATCTTTGGTATTGTCTCATCCCTTCTTAAAACAAGTTATCCTTTTTTTAATCCTGGGCAGCACCATCCTCAGAAACTTTTCATAAAGCATCAATAATATGATTCTCTCAACCAAGGTTTACTATACAGTTGACATTTGTTCTTGCTTCAATTTAAGCAGAATTCATGGGGCCCTGATAAGGACATGTTTCAAACTAATGTCTTATCCTTTTAGGGCCCCAAACTAGATTCTCTGCCAATATACTGTAACAAGTTAGTATGAGTTTATTCTGGTGCAAGAAAATGTACATTTTTTTTTTGACAGGCAGAGTTAAACAGTGAGAGAGAGAGACAGAGAGAAAGGTCTTCCTTCCTTTGGTTCACCCCCAAAATGGCTGCTACGGCCGGCGCACTGTGCCGAACCGAAGCCAGGAGCCAGGTGCTTCCTCCTGGTCTCCCATGTGGGTGCAGGGCCCAAGCACTTGGGCCATCCTCCACTGCCCTCCTGGGCCACAGCTCCCAGGCCACAGCAGAGAGCTGGACTGGAAGAGGAGCAACCAGGACAGAATCCAGCGCCCCAACCAGGACTAGAACCTGGGGTGCCGGTGCCGCATGCGGAGGATTAGCCAGGTGAGCTGCGGCACTGGCCACAATGTACATTTTCCATGAATTTTTGAAGACCTTCCCTCCTTCAAAGTGGTAGAAAGCTCTTTCCTCTTTCTTCAAAATTTCATTGATTTTCTGACCAGATGGCATAACAGGGATTAGATTTATTTGTTGACCATTAAGTCAACAAAACATAAGCTTGATTTAAGACTAATCAATTAAGCAAAAGAAGGCAGCAGCAGAACACAAGGGTAACAACAAGTAGGACAAAAAGAAGCAAATGAAATGGCCCTATGAAAATCCCACGGCTGACATGACACATAATGACAAAGTCTGAATGCTTCCACCCCTCATGTCAGAAACAAGGCAAGAATGCTCACTCTTACCACGTCTGGCTGATCTTGCATTGGAAGATCCAGCCGATGCAATAAGGAAAGTAAAATAAATGGAAATTAGCCAGACTGGAAAAAAAATTTGTAAGACAAACTTCAGTCACAGATAGAAAATCTTGTGGAATATGCAAAATAGCTAGTTGATATACTTTCATAACAGAGTTTCAAGGAGCAAAAATTGTACATAACAATGGAATGCATAACCAGATATAGAAATATTTTAATTCATAAAAATATGAAAATATGAAAAATGTGAAATAGGTGTGACTATGACAAAATATATATGACTCATATACTAAAAACTATAAATATTGTTGAGAGAAATTTAAAAGTTAAATCATGAGATATGCTCTTTGTGAAATTAAAAAAAACTAAAATGTCAATATCCCCCAAATTCATTTAAATTTAAATATACTGTCTATCAAAGTCCCAGTACTCTTTGGTATAAAAATTGATAAATGGATTCTAAAGTTCATAATTTAAATAAATATCTAGGATAGCCTAAATCATATTGCAAAAGAAAAACAAAATTAGGAGGTTTATATTATCTTAAAATGAAGCATTACTTTAAAACTTCTAGGAGAAAATACTTCGGAAAAAAATTCCTAAATCATTTAAGCATGATTTCAGCATAATTCATAAAACATGCTAACATCAATATATGCATAAAATGTATAATATATAGCATGAAAAACATAAGATAGATTATCAAAATTAAAAATGTTTGGTCTTTGAAATCATTAGGAAAATGCAAACCACAAACTGGACAAAAATATTTGCATATATCTGAAAAGGGGCTTGTATTCCAATTATATAAAGAATTGCTACAATTCAGTAAGTCAACAATTAAAAATGTGAAAAAGATTTAAATAAGACATAGTAAAAGAAGATAGACATGTGGCCAATAAAACACAATTAAAGGGGTCAGGCATTTGGTACAGCAGTTAAGCCCTGCTTGCAACTCCCACATCCCAAATCAGAATGCCTGGGTCCAACACCTGGCTCCAGCTTCCTGCTAGTAAGACTCGGAGGCAGCCAGTGGCTGGGTTCTTGCCACCCACTTGGGAATCCTAGATTGCATTCTTGGTACCCAGCTTTAGTCCCCAGACCAGAGTTGTATTTGGGGAGTAAACTAGCAGATGGGAGCACTGTGTGTGTGTGTGTGTGTGTGTGTGTCTGCCTCTCAAATATTTCTTAAATTTACTTTCCTTTAAAAAATAAAATAAAAACTAACCTTAATTCTGGAAATTAAATTAGTTTTGTGTCTCTTTTTCCACAAAAGTACTGAGAACAGGGCCTGACATGCTACATGATCTGTAATGACTCGAATATCTACAGAACCTAGAGATCTTTGGAACTAAGTGGCTAAGGAAAAGTTTCCAAGGAAGAAAGAAGGTCAACTTGAGAAGTTTTTACTCTCTCTGCCTATTCTCTCTAAAGAACATTTTTAGTGAACTACCCCATAGCCCTGATTAGAATAGTCTATAGAGGCCGGCGCCGCGGCTCCCTAGGCTAATCCTCCACCTAGCGAAGCCAGCACACCGGGGTTCTAGTCCCGGTCGGGGCGCTGGATTCTGTCCTGGTTGCCCCTCTTCCAGGCCAGCTCTCTGCTGTGGCCAGGGAGTGCAGTGGAGGATGGCCCAAGTACTTGGGCCCTGCACCCCATGGCAGACTAGGAGAAGCACCTGGCTCCTGCCATCGGATCAGTGCGGTGCGCCAGCCGCAGCGCGCCGGTGGTGGCGGCCATTGGAGGGTGAACCAACGGAAAAGGAAGACCTTTCTCTCTGTCTCTCTCTCACTGTCCACTCTGCCTGTCAAAAAAAAAATTTAAAAAAAGAATAGTCTATAGAATTCTATCACATAGGAAGGAACTTGCTGTCCTGGAGCACTGCATGGCTCACATGTCACAAGGCTGTGCCAACTTCTCTTTCACAGAACAAGAAAACTGTTGACCCCCATCCCCTTGATTTCAGATTTAATGATTTGATAGACCTTAACTGAACCTCAGGCAGCATTAAGGGACTTTTTCTTCTGACCAAGAGAAGATTTTTCCAAAAAGTGACTTAAATCTGGTGGCCCTCATCTCCTAACGTTTGGTGTGTCCCTCACCATTCTATGTGCCTCTTCCTAAACAGGGAGGGAGTGGCAGGTGCAACTGAGGAAGCACCAGCACGTATATGTAGGGAAAGTGAAAATAAATTGAAAAAAAAAAAGTAAAGACAAAAAAATCACCAGAAGGAACTAAAAAGAGAAGAGCAAAGAATCAAGAAAGATAGCATGCTCACCTCCGGCCACACAGGGACTTTGCTTTTCTATGTGGTGCCTCATTCTCCCTGCATCCAGGTGGTGGCACTGGTGCTCTTTCTGCCTTACCCTGTGGGCAGCATTCAGTTTGTATCCCTAAAATAGTAGGAAAGCTAAGAGGTAAAGGAAGAGACACTTGGCTGCCCAGTATTGGGTCTGTTGAAACATAGCTTCCTGAAGGCCATTCCTTTGCAATGCATTATCTTAACAAGTTAGCAACTTGTAAGCAAGAGAAGCAAAAAGGAAAGGAATTGGGACTATAATGGAAGGTAGTTTATGGATGGGACATTCAGGAATTGACCAGGGAGAGTTACTTTAGTGTTTTTGACAGTCTTAAACATAGTTAGAAAAGACGATCTATATCCTAAACTAGAAAAGACAATCTTTATCCTAAATTATGTAGATTTTAGCCACAAACACATAGGTCAGTTTCTGTTGTTCTCAAAGACTTGCAGAGCCCCAGAGTCTTTACAAGCTTCCCCATTTGGTTCCTCTCTCTCTACAGAGCTTGATTTCTATACATGTAAAGGACAAATGTATAGAGAGGTCAGCTGGTATAGGCAAGGTCACCTGGCAAGTTAGTACTAGAGTTCTCTGGAGCTTTTACTGGGTAAGCAAAGAGACCAGATGACGAAGACACAGTGCCTGCTGTACTGGACTCTTACTTTGAAGTTTTTCTGGTTTTGCTAAGGAATCCTCTGTATCATAGGTGACTTTAAACACATCCTTTACAAATAAGCATTTTTCCATGTATTTCTAAAATTCAAGACTCAGACATAGAAATAGATGTAAGTGGCTTTCACGTGGTACTGGAAGGATGATCGGTTTTGTTCATCAAGCAAAAATATCTACATCATGACATACAAATAAGATAAATAGCATTTTGAATCCTTCTGTTTTTAGATTCTCCTACAAAGAAAGAATGATAAAATGACACTGTGTTAAAACATACACAAACATTGGTGTTGGAGGCACATCGGTTTCTAGTTTTTCTCTAGTCTTTACAAGACTATGTGATTAAGATAGATTAAGTTCCTCGATCTTCCTGTGCTGTTAATTTCCTCCTATGTAAAGCAAATTAATTCAACAGCATTAATTCTTTTATTTTTTTTCCAAAGAAACCTTTTGTTTAATGAGTACAAACTTCATAAGTACAACTTTAGGAATATAGTGATTCTTCCCACCATACCCACCCTCCCACCACCACTCCCACCCAACCTCCTCCTCTGTCTCCCATTCCCAGTCCCATTCTTCATTAAGATTAACTTTATATTCAGAAGACCAACTCTATACTAAGTAAAGATTTCAATAATTTGCACACATACACACAAAATATAAAAACTGTTGGAGAACAAGTTTTACAGTTAATTCTCATTGTGCAACTCATTGAGGACAGAGGTCCTGCATGGGAAGTAAGTGCACAGTAATTCCTGTGTTAATTTAACAATTAACACTCTTATTTATGATGTCAGTGATCACTTGAGGCTCTTGACATGAGCTGCCAAGGCTATGGAAGCCTTTTGAGTCCACAGTCTCCATCAGTATTTAGACAAGGCCATAAGCAAAGTGGAAGTTCTCTCCTCCCTTCAGAGAAAAGAACATCCTTCTTTGATGGCCCTTTCTTTCCACTGGGGTCTCACTCTCTGAGATCCTTCATGTAGGACATTTTTTTGCCACAGGGTCTTGACTTTCCATGCCTGAAACAGCATTAGTCTTTAAATCCCATCCGTCTTCATTCAGTCATCACAATTCCACCAAAACACTTTATGAGCATCTGAAATTCCTTTGGGCTATAGAATTGCTTGCTCAAGATAAGTTACCCTAAGTCTGAAGTCTATATTTATTTTTAAAAAATGAGTTTCTGTCCCCTTTTCCCATAGATTTTCAAGGCTACTTTAACACACTACTGCAGTATATAAATCCAGACTTCAGCAGGAACCATGAGGCTGGTACATTTGATTGTATACCTTGCTTAAACACCAACTCCATTGTCAACTTGTATTTTTTGCATACAAATAAAAAAATTAAAAAGAGAAAACAAAAAATACAGGAGTATAGCAATGGATGTACATTCCAGAAATGAATGTCATATGAGTTCTACCATCCAATTGCAGTAAGTGTGTATTTACAGGGAAAGTAAATACACACATGTAAGTATATAAGTATTTACAGGGAAAGTAAATACACACACACACACACACATCTCACTACTAACAAAAGTGACTTCTTTTTATAGGTCTTGAGCAATATCATGCTAAGTTTAATGCAAGCTGGACTATGCAATTGTATTGTCTTTGTAAGAGAAAATACTTGTGTCTGTAATAGATTTGAGTTGATCACTAAAGAATATTCATCCTGACTAATGGAACTAAAAGCTCAGAGTTCAAATCGCAGCTCTCTCTTGGGCAACTGAATATCATCTTGTTCATTGTGACAGATAGATTTCCCTCCTGCAGCCTAGCTTTGTGCTCTCTGGAACCATGAGGTCACTCATGAGTATTCATGAATGTTTATCTTTGTCTAATTATTTTGATTTAATGAGAAATTAGGTAAAAAATATTATTCAGCTCTAACTTCTGAAGTCTACGTTTAACCAAAGGATCTACTTCAAATATTTATCTAAAAATCAGACCAACCACATGGACACAAGCAACTCAACCTTCATTAAAGGGTATCTCTTCAGAGTTCTGTTGTATTTTCCTTCTTGCAGACATTTCAGTAAAAAGATATTTGACAGAATCAAAACAAAAGCACTGATAAAGTAAAGCTGAAAGGCTATGTAAGGCTGTTATTGCTTGGATAATGGGTTCATTCCAGGTTTCTCGGAATGCATACACTAACACTGTCCACATTTAACTTCCCTTTTGGCCTCTTTTCCCTATTTCACAAAACAAACCATTTTCCTTTAAGATAAAAAGTTATGGAAGGAATGTTTACAGGTCTTTGATAATTTTCATTCTCTGCAACCCTAACAGAGGTGTTGATGCCTTTGGCAAGGAAGCAAGGTAACTGCCTTTTCTAACCCCGAATTGTAGTCAGGAGTTGTTGCCTTTGTGAAGTTTCAGAGGAGCAAGCAAGGTGCACTTAATCCTTTTCTGCACCTGCCCTTCCTGAAAGCTTGCACTTTCCAAGTTCATCTTTGGTTAAAACTGTAAAGAAAGCAATGCACATGCCCCCCCTCCTTGGTGTGGTAGCAAGCTGCAGTTCTCTCCCTTACCTCCTGATGTCTCATTCAAATGCTTTCCCCCTTCAAGTCTGAGAAAAAAAAAAATCTGACTCCTCAGCTCAGTGTTTTTAAGCTGTTTACAAGCAGCAAGTCCCTTTGCTCATGCAAAGTCTTCTATGACTACCAAACAAGTAAAGCAGATAAATGTTTTTTGAAATGTAGGTACAGGACTCAGAAGCACCCCTTGTTCTGTTCTCTCCACTTCCCCCCACCACCCAACAGCAGCCTGTGAATGGGGTCTCAAAGAAACCCCAGGCCAAACATAGCTCAGTTTAGAAACTACTTTCCTACTCAAAAGTATGTATTTCCTCCCTCTGGACTCCTATTTTATTCATTGTGCCTAACATTCATTCATTTATTCACTCAATCAGTAAATATCTATGGGGTGTTGGTTATGAATACCCAGCACTTAATTATGTATGCCTGATTATAAGACTTATCTAATTATGCTGGAAGTCTCAGTTTAACTGTCCACCTACCCCATTGACTATGGTTTCTTGCTTGGGTCTCCTGACCACACACAGAACTTGGAATATAATGCATGCTTGACTTTCCCATTTTATCTACTTGTCTGTGCTCAAATGTTTCCTTATTAGAGAGACCTTCACTGATCCTCCTACCTTAAATCATACTTCCTTAACCCTATTTCCTTCTGTCCCCTTAATCTTATATTTCCCCCAAAGCACATACATCCGGCTGATAAATAATATGAGGTATCTTCAAAGTTTATGCAAAATTTATGGTATGAAAAAAACAGTGCCTGGATTTCCAGGGTTTTTTTTTTTTCACCAAAATAAACTTATCTTTTAATTCCATTTTTCATAAACTTCTTGAAGTACATTTGAATATATCCATTTTCAAATGTAGTCCCTTTGTTTATTCACCCCCATATCACAACTTCTAGAACAGTGACAGACACTGAAGTTGGTACCTACTAAACATTTGTTAAATTGGTTGATAAAATGAAGTGAGTAATATGGCTATGGTTGTTAGCTATCTAAAAAGGTACTTATATTAAAATGTATGTGTGGCTCATGTGCTTCACCAGATGGCACCTTCTGAAAATCAAACCTATGCTTCACGTTTCCCTTATCCTACACTTCTATCACTTTCTGTGTCCAGCACAGTATCTTGTTTATAGCAGATGCTCCATCCATTAATTGAGAAGACAAATGAGGTTCTGTCAGTTTATTAGGTGTTATGGGTTGAGTAGGACTTGTCTCCCCAAAAGCCAGGCAGATGTTGAAACACTGAGGTATTAACTTTAATGGTTGAATGATTAAGGGTGAAGACTTTGTCTAGGTATGGTGTCTGAGAGGTGGGTCTGATGGGAGGTCTTTAGGTCATTGGGGATGTGCCATTGGAGAGTGGTTCTGATAACAGGGTTGATTATTTGAGTTCAAGTTCTGGTTGGCTGTTCTCTGCTTCCTGGCTTACCACATCCTCCTTGACAAGCTTCCACCACACAACATACAGAGCCACTTGATCCTGAACTGTAACCTCCGAACTGTGAGTTGAAGTAAATCTTTTCTTTCTCAAGAAGTTCTTCCTGAGTGTTTTACTTAAGGTAACAAAGCAGACTAATACACAGGGATGCTCAAAAATGTGTCACAGACTGGGTAATTTAAACAACAGGAATATATTTCCTGATAGCTCTGTAAGCTAGAAATCCAAGGTCCAGGAGTCAGCAGGGTTGGTTTCTCCTAAGACCTCTCACTGGCTTATAAAGGTGTCTTCCCCCTATGTCTTTTTCCCTCTGTAGCTGTTTGCACTCACACTTCCTCTTCTTATGAGGACCCCAGCTATATTACATAGGGCCACTCTAACAGCCTCCTGTTAACCTAATGACCTCTTCAACCACCTTGTCTCT